CATTTCTTCCTGGAGGTAGCGAAGGAAGTATGGCGGTGACTTTAGCCGGGCCACACGGTCAGGTGTTGGGTGGGGTGGTGGCAGGGCCGGTGGTGGCTGCTGGAAAGGTGATTGTGGTGGCGGCAACCTTCGCCTCCTCGACATTGCACCGCTTTGGTGCTGTGAGTAATACATCGGCCTCGATCATGATGCCCGTAGTCGGAGGCGAAGAAGGATGTGCTAAAAGTTCGGCTGCAGAGAACAGTGAAGCGGAGAAATCGGAGCGAGACATGCTGAATAAGTGCTTAGAGGAATTAGAACAGTTTCTTGAGTTGCCGCCGGAGGTGGACGGTGTTTTCATCGGTGACGGCGCTTCAGCAGAGAAAACAGGGCTGGACGGCGGAGGGGAGGAGGCGGATGAAAATATGTTTGATAAATATCTAAAAGAGTTAGAGGACTGCCTTGAGGTGCCGGCGGATGTTGAGGAGTCCACAGTTGGGCTCGATGGAGACAGCGGCGGGGAGGGTGAAGGAGATTCTTTTAATGTTGAGGAGTATCTTGACTTGCATATGATGGTTGATGACGCTTTTGGAGGCCGCCGTGATGGTTGCGGCGAGCATTTAGTCTTCGATGCCTTTAGGGTTTTGGACGCCTGCCATCCTCTATACTGATTGGCGCCTCAAATTCAAACTCTCTCTGATTGTATAATTATGATTCAGAATTGTAGAGTCCATAAATGCTGGAGGGCAGAATTGTATTCATGTTGATTGTGAACATTATTTTGATTTCTGTAAAGAACACTTCTGCAACTTAATAAAACTCAACGAATATTGTTAGAGCATTGTGTTGAAGAATGCTTCGTAAATTGTCTTCTTTTTTTTTTTTTATGATTCTCATTGATGGATGCTTATTGATTATCTTGCAATGATTATCTACTATGTAACTTAACTAACTGCTTTCCAAATTTTTTCCTGCGACGCAGGCATATAAATCTTTCAAATTCGTTGTCTTCCTGTAAAGTTATAGTAGCACAACAAAGTTAATGTGTAGTGATTCATGGAACTGTAGCGTTTATTTTCTTAATAACATTACCGGAACTGCTGATTAAACTTCCAGATCTTCAAATCTGATAAAATTTCTGAATTTTTTTCTTTGCTTTCTCCAGACAAAATTATGTCATTTTCTAATTAATGTAGTAGTTACATTCAAATCTTAATGTAATCGTTGTCTAGACGTCAAATAGCTCTTAGTAAATTTTCGATAATTTTAACAACACATCTATAAAAAGTATTTTAGATAAACCACATTCTCATTAGCTATACTATTTGCCATCCGTGATCGTTGCTAATGAGATGTTCTACAAATTATTATTATTGATACTTTACAAAAATCATCTTAATTGGACACAAATCTTTAGGCATATCCAACTTCTCAATTACCAAAATTAAATTTGGGGTTATACTAACTCCAATTTCATCAAACTTAATAGTCAAATTGAACATTTCTGTGAGACGAACCTAACGACCCTAAAATCAGTACAATTAGGATTCAAATGAGTCCAAATGACTGGCTTGAAACATATTTGAAAGCTCTGAAGCATTAATTGGATGACTACATATTATTGAAATATGGCAGGCTTATAGTCGAATCGAGCGTCTCAATGGGATCAATTCAACAAGCCCAAGATAGCTGTTGCTTATAATATAAAAAATTATTAATATGTAAATCATAATTTTTTAGCTGTGGCTCATACTTAGTATATACATATGCATGCGGCTGTTGTGGCAGAACTTTTAGAAATCTATGATGTCGAGCATGATTAAGAGGGAGCTCATCATCCAAAACTTTTGAGTGAATTTCTAAATATTATATATTACATCAACCGAGCCGAGCGCTTCTGCTGGTATGGAGTGTGGTCGGGAGGATTCCTCTGGAATCGAACATGAAGCAAGCGACGGGGAAGCCATTGCTACCAGTTTCGACCATGAAGCAATGTTGGACGATGCTGCTGGAAGCGAAGGTTTGGAATTGGCCGATGCTGCTCGTTTGGATCATGAAATGGGGAAGAGCACGAACTCGAGCCAAAATAGCAGGTCGACTTCCATAATTTGGCCAATGCGTACAGCTGCGTGCGAGATGAAGCTCCCGTTTCATGGCCTTCCCAGTCGTGAGTTGTCCGCCCAGTTCCATGAACATGTCAGTGAATCAATTTGAAATGTCCCGAGTGTTGATGTTGATATGTCATTGAATGATTTTGCTGGTTTGGACAAGGATTCTGGGATGGTTTTAAAAGCAGCTTGCAGGTGTGGAAATTCCCTTGGTTTAGCGGTTGATGATCTTAAGGGAGCAGATTGCTGCACTCTAAGTGTTTATCTCAATGCCTCAAAGGAACATAGTAATATGGAACATTGTAAGAAATACAATCTGCTGTATTTATTTGATATGCATGTTATTGCCTTATTTCCAAACTCAGCATTTTGTTTATTACGTAACTCTTATTGCTCATCTTTTTGTATTGGAACAATCAAGTTGTAACTTCTAAACTTGGTGCAATTTATGTTGAAAGCCTCTTCAATGGAAAAATTTTATTCAAGATATTTTGTAATAATATTTTTAATACTATGGATATCATTGGAATAAAAAAAAATTACATAAAAAATTTTTATGGATAAAAAATATTTTTAAAGCATTTTAAACTTTAAATTCTTCAATACTACAAAATCTTAAAATCTTTCTATAAGTTATTGTCCATTTATAAAAGAGAATCAATCAAATATACTATTTTTGATAAAAATGTTCAATTAATCTTAACTTTGTTTTTACTACAACAACTTAACTTACAGCTTTAGGAAAAAAGGATTGTCAAGTAAATTTGTGAAATAATTTGGAAGTTCATTTTTTCATAAAATAAATATTATCAAGACAGTTTTCAAATGACATAGAATAATTAGACTATTTAACGGTTAAGGAAGATACCACCTGGTAGGGTTCAACAAATTTTGGTTGTAAGGATATTTTTGAAAATAAAATTAATAAATAAATGGTGAATTTTCTTTGCTATTTCTCTTAGTATTTGATTCATCGTTCCCTAACAATAACATATCTACACAATATGTTTAATTATGTTAAGGGGCAATGGCCGCCCATATTTGTAAAACAAAAAAAACCTAGCGCATATTAGTTTTCTATAAATTTTTTTTTTTTTTGGGCTTTCCACCTATTTCTTCAATGGAGAATTTAAAAGAACTCATGCTCTCTAATATCCTTTATGGATAATGCTGAGAAAATGATATACCATCTAATGTCAGCCTTTATCCTGTGAATGTAACCTCCTTCAAGAACTGAAAACACACGAACTGATTATTCTTCTTTAGCTTCTTCAAAATCTATGTAGCACATAAACAAATTTTATCCAAGAGTTATCTAATTTACTCAATAACACAGCAATGCTAAGCTGGTAGCTATGATAACTATCGATCTAGTTATAAATGTTCATAGAGTTAGCTTGATACAAGGTTCAATAAAAAATCCATTAAACACAATAAAAATTTAGGTAGGTAGTTTGACTTAAACATATATAGGGGTGCAAACGAGTCGAGTCGAGCTCAAGTAGAGACATGTTCGAGCCGAGCTCGACTGACAAAAATCGAGCTCGAGCTCCAGCTCCAGCTCGAGTCGAGCTCAACTCGGCAAGGGTACATGAGCTCGTCGAGCCGCAGTTCGAGCCTGTTCACGAGCCCCGCATCTGCGTCGCCTTCCACATTGTTAGCTGGTTAGCATTTGCGTAAGTTCTACCTGACCGAAAAATCTCCGACTGAAACGCTCAAGTCGTTCCTCTTCACCGTCTTCTGGCAGTTGAGCTCGACTCCCAAACAAGAAGACGCAGAAGGATGAAGATTTGTTGGAGAGTGTTGTTCTTGTTGAAGATTAATTTGTAGAAGTGTCGTTCCTGTCGGCTGATGCAGACGGATGAAGACAGTTGAGCTCGACTCCCGCCTTCCCAAAGAAGATGACGTAGTTATGCGAAAATTGAAGTTCTCCACCGTAGTCGTCCGCGTTCATCTGCCACAATTACACAGGCTGCTTTCCGTTCTTCGCCTTAGTCGTTTGCATACATCTTCCCAGTTCGAAGTTACAAAATCTGTTTTCATTTTTCGGCCAACAAAAGACCCGCTGTTTTAATTTTCAGGCCGCAATTACGCGAGCTCGAAATCGTGTTCGAGCTCAACTCGCAAACTCGACTTGTCTAGCCTATTATTGAGTCGAGTCAAAGCCGTCTAGCGAGCCGGCTTGACTTAGTTGCACCCCTAAACATATGTTAACATAAAATATGCTAGCCAAGATAATCAACTACTAAAAATTTAATACTTCCGTAACGGTTTACAACAGTTATTTATAAACTGCGGCTAGATAATATAGGCAACGAACTAAAATAATATTTAAAAATTAATATTTTCGGAAGCATTTCAATAACAACATTTAAAAATCAATGTTAAATCTAAAAATAGTGTCGTTATAATATTCGTGATCTCTCCAAGTTCCGCCTCATTGTCCCTTTCGTGCCCTAGATCTCGCTCCTCCAAGCCACCGCCTTGCTACGGGACTTTCGCACAACCAGTTGTACCACCCGTCTCTCTTCTTCGTGGTTCTATGTATTCGAAGAAACAATGTCGACGAAGCGCCCAGCAGATGCGGCCGAGGTGTCTCCAATAATGGATTTCAGAACTATGGATGAGCATGGTACTCTGTTCGTTTTCGTATGACTCCGGTCCATAGCAGCACCGGCCCAAAAAAGGGCCGGTTCTCACTTACTGCAGGCGGAGAACCCGCCTGCCTGGGCGGACTGCCGAAGGGGAACCAAGAGTCGGGTGGGCCCAAGGGGGCCACCAAATTGAAGAGGAAGAATGAGGTGTTTGCCCTAGGGGTAATTAGGGTATTTTGAGGGGTTTATGTGAGAGTTAAAAGTGAGTTAGGGTGGCTTTTTGGAGGGATCTTGTTTGGTGGCTGTTTTAGCTTTTCTTTCTAATCTAGGGCTTGGGAGAAAGCTTCTCTTCTCGAAGTGAGAGCATTGTATCCGTGAAAACTTGTAAGTCTTTTGATATTCAAGTTATTGAAGTGTTTGTGAGTGTTTTCATCCAAGAAATTTTGCATTTTTCCACCGTTTTTGGACTGTTTTTCTTGGATTCCGAAAATTACAAATTAAGATCCATCAAAGTGGTATCAGAGCGCTAGATCCACAAGGAAGGGATGGGTACACGAAGGATTGAATCTATTGAAGAGAAAGTTGGAGAGTGGGAAGTGGAGTTCACCGCCCTTAAGGAGAAATTTGCATCCGTTGATGAAAAGCTTGATGGAGTAAAGGAGTTGAAGACTCAAATGTTAGGGTTACAAGAGATGATCAAACAAATGGTGGCGGGCCAACACAACATAGGGGGTTCGGTTAACCCTAACCCTAACCCTATCCCTATTGCGCCGCCGGTTGATGGTGAAGGAGGTAGTAGGGTTCGTGAGGGACCTAATGCAAAAGGGAAGGAGGCCATTGACATTGTCAACCATGGAGGGGATGCTTGGTCCGCCGGCCCAAGGGGGGGCAGGTATGGCCCAAACCGTGGAGGGGAGGACTACTCCACCGCCGGATTTATGGGAGACGCTAGGGCAAGCTATACTCAGAATCATCCAGATCAATTTGTCCAAGGAAGGGAGGGAGGAAGCATGCCTTACAATCAGTGGGGAGGAGGATCGTATCGAGGCAGAGGGGAGGCCGACCCTAGGGAGCCTCATTGGGGGTCGGCTGGTTATGCAAGGGGGGATCCGGTGGCACCTCAAGCTTGGGAAAGAAGGGAGAGTCGTGGGGTGGACCCACGGCCATGGGAGAGGCAACCAGAGGGGAGATATGGGCAAGGAGGTATGGGCAACGGCAGGGTAAACGGGAGAGGAGAATGGGGAATGAGGAAGTTGAAGCTTCCAATCTTTGAAGGAGAGGATGCTTATGGGTGGATCTTCAAGGCAGAAAGATACTTCACAGCGATGGGGATGACAGATGAGGAGAAACTCTTGGCGGTACCTTTATGTTTGGAGGCAAGAGCCCTTGCTTGGTATCAGTGGACGGAAGAAAGACAGAGATTCAGATGTTGGGCAGAGTTTAGGGAGATGTGCCTAGACCGCTTCAGACCACCAAAGGAGGGAACTCATCATGAGCAGTTCTTTGCACTGACCCAGACTGGTACAGTATCTGCTTATAGGGACAGGTTCGAGTTGCTGTCCAGTAGGCTTCGTGGGATGACAGATGAGGTGCTTGAGGGAAATTTCATGAAGGGTTTGAAGCCCCACATTCGATCAGCAGTTAGAGCGGCCAAGCCAAGGAGTTTGAGGGAGACTTTGGAGATGGCTGAGCTGATAGAGGATAGATTGTCTTCTGATCAATACCGCAGACCTACTTTCTTCGGAGGGGGACAGAAGGTGGCAAATCCTACGGGAGGAGCCAAGGGTGCTTACTTGGGGGCAGGAGGAGAAGGACAGAAGGAGAGGGATCGGAGTGCACCGGCCAAGGGGGAGTTTAGGCGGCTCACTGAGGCAGAGCTGAAGGATAAAAGAGCCAAGGGGCTCTGTTACAGGTGTGATGAGAAATTTGGGCCAGGGCATAGGTGCAAGGACAAATTACTCCAAGTCCTATTGGTAGAAGACCCCGAGGAGGAGGAAGTTGAGGAAGAGTTAGGAGGGGAAGAAGAAGGTGTAGATCATCTACATCTTGACATGATTGAGGTTTCCCTCAATTCAGTGGCAGGGTTGACAGCACATTCCACCATGAAGATGGAAGGGAGGATCGGGAGCTTTACAGTCACAGTGCTGATAGACAGTGGGGCCACCCACAACTTTATAGCTTGCAGATTAGTGGAAGAGTTGGGCATTCCCATGATCCAGGGGAGAGGAGTGGGAGTCTCTTTGGGGACCGGTCAGAAGGAGCAGTGTGCGGGAAGATGCAGTGGAGTTACTCTCTCCATACAGGGGGAAGATATTACCCAAGATTTTCTGGTGCTCGAGCTGGGTAATACGGATGTTATTTTGGGTATTCAGTGGTTACAAACTCTGGGGGAGATGAAGGTCAACTGGAAGACCTTGATGTTGGAGTATGGTGAAGGGGAGCATCGAGTTACTTTGCATGGGGACCCCAAACTATGCCGGTCTAAGGTGGCTCTGAAGACTATTCTCAAGTCCCTTAGGAGTGAGGGGGAAGGGTTTCTGATAGAGTTATGGCGATTGGAGGGTAGTGAGCCAGTGGAGGAGCAGAATATTCCAGAAGAGGTGGGAGAGCTGTTGGAGGAATTCACCCCAGTTTTTCAGATGCCAGCAGGGCTACCCCCACAGAGAAGCAAGGAGCACGCCATTGTACTGAAAGGAGGAGCTGATCCAGTTAGTGTGCGGCCCTATCGATATCCTCATGCTCAAAAGGAGGAGATTGAGAAGCTAGTCAGGGAAATGATGGAAGCGGGGGTTATCCAGCCGAGCGTGAGCCCTTTTTCGAGCCCCGTACTTTTGGTAAAGAAGAAGGACGGTAGTTGGCGATTTTGTGTTGATTATCGGGCTCTCAACAAGGAGACTGTTCTAGACAAGTTTCCAATTCCCGTTATTGATGAGCTTCTTGATGAGTTGGGGGGTGCTACAATGTTCTCCAAACTTGATTTGAAGTCCGGATATCATCAGATCCGGATGAGGAGGGAGGACATCCCCAAGACTGCTTTCAGGACTCATGAAGGACACTATGAGTTCTTGGTGATGCCTTTTGGGCTCACCAATGCTCCTTCTACATTCCAGGCCCTGATGAACCAAGTGTTTCAACCCATGTTGAGGAGGTTTGTTCTAGTGTTTTTTGATGACATTCTGATCTATAGCAGGTCCCTACAGGAGCACTTGGAGCACTTGAGGAAGGTTTTGAACACTTTACAACATCATCAGTTGTATGTCAATCAAAAAAAGTGTTCTTTTGCTCAAAGAAGTGTGGAATATTTGGGGCACATTATCTCAGCAGAAGGGGTGGCAGCTGACCCTTCCAAGGTGGAGGCCATGACGAGCTGGCCAACTCCTAAGAACCTTCGGGCTCTCCGGGGCTTCTTAGGACTCACAGGATACTACAGGAAGTTCATAAAGGGGTATGGATCTATTGCAGCTCCACTCACTGAACAGTTGAAGAAAGACAGCTTCAATTGGGGACCGGAGGCAGATAGCGCTATGGAGGCTTTGAAAAGAGCTATGGTTAGTGCCCCGGTGTTAGCATTACCGGATTTCAAGCAGCAGCTGGTGGTGGAAACTGATGCATCTGGTTTGGGGTTAGGAGCGGTCCTCATGCAGCAAGGGCGACCCATTGCTTTCTACAGTCAGGTATTATCAGGGAGGGCAAGGCTCAAATCTGTCTATGAAAGAGAACTGATGGCCATTGTTAAGGCCATCCAGAAGTGGCGACCGTACTTGTTGGGTAGAAGATTCCTTGTGAGGACTGATCAAAGGAGTCTAAAATACTTGTTGGAGCAACGCATGGTGACAGAAGAGCATCAAAGATGGCTCTCCAAATTGTTGGGCTATGATTTCGAGATTCAGTACAAGCCAGGATTGGAGAATAAAGCTGCTGACGCCTTATCCAGGAAGGTGGAGTGCTCACAACTTATTGCTACATCTGTGCCTCAGTTAGTGGATTGGGGGAAATTGAGGACTGAAAATATGACTAGTGAAGAATTGGGGAGCTTCAGAGAGGCCATAAGGAAGGGGGAAGAAATACCAGCAGGATATACAGTGGAGGATCAGCTGTTGCTACATAAAGGGAGGTTGGTTTTGCCTAGGACCTCTTCCCATATTCCACTGATACTCCAGGAGTTTCATGCCAGTGCTATTGGAGGACATTCAGGAGGGCAGAAGACTTATCAGAGATTGGCTAGAGAGATATACTGGAAGGGGATGAGGAAAGATGTGGAGGAAATGGTGGCCCAGTGTGATACTTGTCAGAGGAACAAGTACCAAGCATGTGCCCCTGGAGGACTGTTGCAGCCACTTGAGTTACCTGATCAGGTTTGGTCGGAAGTGACTATGGACTTCATCGAAGGCTTACCCAAGTCGGACGGCTACACTGTCATTCTAGTGGTAGTTGACCGGCTTAGTAAGTATGCTCATTTCATACCGTTGAGACATCCTTTTAATGCCACTACCGTCGCAGCAGTTTTCATCCGTGAGATTGTGAGGCTTCATGGCTTTCCTGAGTCGATAGTCTCTGACAGAGATAAAGTGTTCCTGAGTCACTTTTGGAAGGAGATGTTCAAGTTACAAGGGACACATTTGAAGCGCAGTTCAGCCTACCACTGTTGGTCAAAGATATGCTACGGAGAAAAACGTAGATCCGGCAGAACACACATTCCTCATTACTCATGTCTATAGGGGACAATAGCAATAAACCATGATGGCAACATAACAATCGAAGAAAATATTTAAAGGAGAGGTGATGTTGCTAGGAGGGTGTTTTTTCCAATAAACCGATCAGAAGAGGAAGAAAACTTAATAATAATTACGAAATGGGGAAACTGTTATATATTTATAAGCTGAGAAAATGAATATGCTTAGTGGATTAAAAAAGGATAAAATATTCAAATGATTTGTTATTGAAACGAATTATTATTAAAAAATAACACCTCAGAAAGCAATTAACAAGGATATGAAAGGATTTTAGGCAGTTGCTCTAAAGTGCATCGGGACTCACAAATAGTTTGGATTATGCGTACATGTAAATGACACAGAGACTTCAGAGCCGAATGTCCCTATTATGGGGTAGCATTAGAATAACATAGATAGCTACATCCTAAGTAAATGAGTAGAAGGCGTTTTGACGCCCCGTAATTTGCTTTTTCACAAGCTCTGATAAAAAACCGTATCAGAGCAAGCTGGAGGCCAAAGAAAAGACCACAGGCACCTAGGGCGCTTTGGGCCAATGGCTGGAGCTGAATCAGAATGAACTATATGTTCATTGATCACTTCCTTATAATAACACAAGAGGTAACTTTTCTTGGTGAGGGGAACAGAAGTGGACAATCTCTGAGACGCCGGGATCCCAGGTCGGGGTTTTTTACTGGCTTGGGGGTCAGGAGGAGCGGATCTCGGAGGGGACTGAGGATAGTGCAGTCGCCTATGAGGGGAGTGTCAGGTGGCGGCATCACCTGGAACCTGAGCTGAAGGACCTCATCAAGAGCCATAAGTGTGACTTGTTTTCACAGGTGCTGCACTGAGCTAGGTTTTAGGAGCCAGGGTAAAGGTGCAAGGACACCACTTACTAACACTCTCACTGGCTCCGCAGATAAAAGACACACGCGCCTGGGGGCAATGCTGAAGTCTGAGGAAGAATTAGGAGGGGAACAAAAGTGGTGTAGATCATCCAATTCCTCTTACATGCTTAGAATAATTGATCTGTCTGTCTCCTGCCATAATTCAGATAAGAACGAGTGGGCTTCTGCTCAGATATTTGCAATCAGTGAAGAATAGGGACAATTTGGACGGATGGAGAGATTCTTTACAGTCAATCTATGTGTAGCATTCAGAGCAATATGGGCATATACAACCTTTTATAGTCTTGCATGCATTCATGTGATGAGTTCGAGGGCTTCCCTGATCTCACCAATAGGGAGCGGGACGTTTGGGGAGTCTCCTTGGCGACTCGGTAATCATGGGATCCGCAAATTGCGCTCTCCTCACCCTTTCATGAAGTTACTAAGACTCACGTTCCCTATCCGAACGTTGGCCGAACTTCCCCCTGCCCTCCATCAAGAGTATCTGTCCACGTCTGCCTTCGTGCGATGCTCATGAGAGGAGTAGTGTGCGGGAGCGCTCGCAGCGGGGTTACTGTCGTAACATACAGGGGGTACCTCAGGTTATATTCGAGCTCTCGCTAAGTTTGTATATTGGTGGTCGATGCTGTAGGTAATACGGATGTCGTGTTTCGGCGATATTCCATTCGTGGTCACTTAAAATTCTCCGTGCGGGAAATCGAATGGGATCTAATTCGGTTTCTTCCAGGTTCACACTTGATGTTGTGGATGTACGATAGGTTCACGACAGGGGATGCATCGCGCTCTCTTTGCAGTGGGGACTCCAACAAATTATGCCGGTCGAAGGTGGATTTGAAGCACTTCCTATACAAGATAGTTCTTTCCTAGGCCAGATACAGATGCATGTGATGGATTCTATCGGTGGTGTAGATGGCGATTTCTCTTTTGCGTAGTGTGAAGATCTGGCAGCAAGTTGAGCAATGGAGTAATGACATCCTTTTCTTACAGAAGAGGGTAGAGATGTGGTGGGAGCATTTCAGACCACAGTTCATATCTTCCTTAGATATGCTCCATCTTAGGGCTACCACACAGTTTACGACTTGAGTGTTCTTACTGCGAAGCTGGCCGACTCATTGCTGTCCGTGTGATTGGAGGTTGTAAAGCATACAGTCTAGGGTGTGGCGCCATATCCGTTATCCATGCTCAGAAGGGGAGATTGAGAAGCTAGTACGACGATTGGAGGCGGGGGTATCCAACCTAGGTGAGCTTTTTCGACCAGTACTATTGGTGAAGAGAAGGACGGTAGCTGGCGATGTTTGTGTTGATTTATCGGTGCTCTCAATGGAGACTATTCGTAATTGACAAATTTCCAATCCCGTTATTTTGCATGAGAGCTAGTGTGATAGGTTGGGGGATGCTACCATTTTGCTTCCGCAACTCTGAGTTTCCTGAAGTCGGGATAATCAGAGCGGCATCCGGATGGGGTAGGAGGGGAGGACATTTTCCAGACTTGTCGTCTTCTCTACGAGCTACGAGGGAACCTCATGCACCTTCATATGTGGATTAGATTAAGGAGCTCCCTATTCTCACCATCTATCTTGATTTGAAAATGGATGCAGAAATATCGTCATTATATTTTCTTGTGAGGTGTCGTGTGACTGGAAGTTACTCAAGTGTATTAGCTTCTGCTGAGTGCAGGTGTTTTTCTAATTGATATTTCTGTTTGTCATGATATATAGGTTACTTACGCATGTCATAATGAACCACGTGCTGGAGCTTGTTAGAAAGGTTGAGCGGATGTCTAAACATCATCGTAGTTGTATGTAATCGAAAAAGTGCTTTCTTCTTTGCCATATCAGGACGGTTAATGTTGTGGGCTAACTTTATCTTATTGGGGTAGCCATTTATTTAAGAGCTTAGGATACGGGTGAGCGGATAGACCGCTATACATCCTAGGTGTGATGACATTGACGAAGCTCGGCGACAGCACTCTCTTGAAGAGAAGCGCTATACGGCTCGTTACGGGGGCGTTTCGTTGTAGGGTATCTCACAGGATGATAAACGAAATTCCCATCAACAAGGGTATGTGATATTGATGTAATATGCGTCACTACTGAGGAGTGAAGAAGACAGCTTCAATTGGGGACGAGGCAGATAGGCTATGGAGGCTTTAAAAGGACGGCTCTGGTTGAGTGCATAGTAACGGGTTGTTTGATGCTATAGGATCATCACTGTGAAACGGCATTGATCATAGAGCTATCATGCTAGTGCGTGGTGGCTTGGCCAACTGAATGCTATCACTGCCTGGCCTTCTGAGGGTTATGGTAGTGGTTCGTCTTCACTATAAGCACAGGCAGAGGCGCAAACTCTTATCTCAGTCTTTCAAGGTAGCGAGGTGAAATCAGGTCATTTATCCGAATTGGAGCGAGTTAAAGCTCTCACGAAAAATTTTTTCTATCGTATGAAGAGAAGATGATGAGTCCATAATCTAGCTCTAAGTGGCATCTGCAGACAGTGTGAGCGCACCTCGTCTTACTCTTGTGGGTAAGGTAAGCGACACTGATCTCTGTTAGGATGCGCGTCGACTGACCAAAGGAGTCTAAAATCTTGCTGGACACATAGTGACAAAAAAACGAATAGACATAGATAAAGAGAACACAGGGATGGTCTCAAGATTTTTGGGTTGATTTCGGATTCAGTAAAGCCAGGTTTGGAGAATTAAAGATGCTGATGCCTTATCGGAAAGGTGGAGTGCTCACAATTTTGCTGACATTGTGCACTCAGTTAGTGAAGTATGGGGAATTTGAGGACAGAAAACTATGACTAGCGAGAATGGGGAGTCTTAAGAGAGGCATAAGGAAGGGGTGAAAAGAAATACCGCAGGATATACAGTGGCGGATAGCTTTTGCTACTCAGAGGACGGTTAGTTTTACTCTCAGGACTTCTTCCCAGAATTCACTGATATATTCAGGGGTTTCATGCAGTGCTATTGGGAGGACATTCAGGAGGGAGAATTTCAGAGTTGGCGTAGAGAGATTACTGGAAGGGATGAGAAAGATGATGGAGGAATGGTGGCCCGTGTGATACTTGTCAGAGGAACAAGTATAAGCTTGTGCCCCTGGAGGACTGTTTGCAGCACTTTGAGTTTTCCTATAGAGTTTTGGTCAAGAGGTGACCATGGATTTTCAATCGAAGCTTACCCAAATCGGAAGGCTAACATGTCTTCTAGTTGTAGTTGACGCGGACTTAGTAAGTTGCTTCATTTATACCGTTGAGACCACTTTTAATGCCACTAACATTGCATGCAGTTTTCATCTGTGAGAGTTGTGAGGACTTCATGGCTTTCCTGTAGTGATGCTGACGAGATTACAAGTGTTCCTGAGCCACTTTTGAGGAGACAGTTCAAGCATCAAGGGTACACATATTGAAGCATAGTATCAGCTACACCACTAAAGAAGATGGGCAATCTGAGGTATATCAATAGAAGTGTCGAGACTTACCTTTAGATGTTTTGCAGGGGAGAAGCCCAAAGCATGTGGTAAGATGGCTACCTTGGGCTGAATATTGGTATATGTACTTCATTTCACAAGGGGCGCAGGTAACACCTTTCAAGGTGCTTTATGGGAGGGATCTCCACCCTGATACAGTACAGGACTCATTCTACATCAGTGTCCTTAGTGGACGCAACAATTGTCCTAAAGGGATAAGGATGTTTGGGGAGCTGAAGTACCACTTGTTACGAGCCAGAAATCAATGAAAGGCGGCTAGCAGATCATCATAGGAAGGACGTTACAATTGAGATTGGGTTAATTTGTATTTACTTGAAGTTGATGGCCTTATAGGCAGAATACTTTTAGGCAAGGAGGCTAAGTGTTAAGTGGCCCCGAGATTAATGGCCCTATGAGGTAGAGCAGAAGATTGGGAAGTAGCATATCGCATGAAGTTACACCCACTACTACGATTCATCCGAGTTTTTGATATGTCACAGTTGAAGAAGTTCAAGGGAGATTTGTACAGTCGATACTTTCTCGCCAACATGTGTCTGAAGATGTAACAAATCTATTAGAGCCTTCTGCATTAAAAGGGGTTAGACACACTGAGGAAGGAGGGAAGGAAGTTTTTGATTGAGTGGAAAGATCTACCGAAACATGACGCAACTTGGCGGAGACTTATGAGATCCATACAAGCTCAGTTTCCCTGTTTTCAACCTTGAGGACAAGTTTAAATTTTGTGGGCGGGAAGTGATGATGGACCGCTCCGGTCCATAGCAGCACCGGGCCAAAAAAGGCA